CTGGACAACAGGGGCCAGCTGGTGCCCTGGCTTTCTCTTATGGAAGAGTGCTCACCATGGGCTTCTCCAGGTAGAGAGCTCAGCGCCTCAGCCACTGTGGCCCTCCTGCGCCCACGGCCCCCACAGCAGCAGGTCTCAGTCTTGGCCGAGGACTGCCCACAGGGCAGCAGCGAGGAGCAGGGACGGGTCGGGCGGGGCAGGGTGGGCGTGCATTTGCTCCTTGCCCTCCCCATGTGACTGAACTGAGGCCTGAGTGCTTCCTACCTCCCTTGCCACCTACAGACCACCCTGGGATACTGGCTCGGAGTCCTGATGCCCCGGGTGATGGCGATCACCACTCTATACCTCGGTCTCCCTGGATGCCAAGGGAGCTTGGGAGACATGGCTGTGCCACCCAGAGCTCAGCAGCATGGGGTGGCTGTCTGAGGGGCAGGCAGTCGGTGCAGCTGCTGCTCACAGGCCCTGGTCTCCAGGGCTCCCCTCCCAGTGAAGGCCCTGGAGGACGGTGCCTAGGACGCTCCCTTCTGAGCCTTGGTTCCCACATGTCCCTCCCCAAGTGGCCAGAGCAGACATGGATCAGGTGGGGCTTCCCACGGTGGAGATGTTTATTGACAAGAGCGGGGCTGGGCTGGGCTTCCAGCCTCCACTTCTGGCCAGAGCAAGCAGGAGAGCAGGAGAAGGGGCGCCTTGACGGCGGCACGGGTCGCTGTCCTGTGGCTCGGGAACCACGGCTGGAGCCGGCCTCACGCACTCACGCGCTGGGAGCGTACTGTAGCACCAGCCGGTCAAAGTCGTTCTCCTTAAACACAGAGTGTGGATGGCGCGCGGGGGGGGGGGGGGGGGGGACAAAGAGAACATGAGTCGGGACCCCCGTCACTGGCCTTCCCCAGCCCCGCCTGGGGGTCTGGGGACCTGGGACGGCCCAACAGTTCGGGCTCACCTTGGCCTGGTACTCCTTGATGAAAGGGTGGGACCGGTGAGCGTCCTTCAGCTGGGACAGGTAGCGGCTTGTCACCTGCAGGGGAGAGGAGGCCAGATGGGCTGAACAGGGGCCCCCAGGCACCTCTCACATACAGGGTGAAGGGAGGGCTGGGGTGGGGTGGGGGCTGCCCAGCTGACCCCAAGCAAGAGCCCCCGGCTTCCATCATCTCCATCAGCCTACCCTGGAATCTGGCTGATGACAGGACCCTCAGGGCTGGGGCGGGGAGAGGGGGGCAGCTGACCCAGAGCCTCCATTCAGCACACAGTGGGGGGGATGCCCCACAGGGTTCAGGCGAGTGGGGTGGGAGGGACCCAGGCCCTAGGAGAGGGCGGAGGGCCAGGAGGAGCAGAGGGCAGGTCAGAGGGAACTGGGCTGGGAGGGCAAGTGCGTTTGTTCTGGGCGCACTGTATGGAGAAACCCCAGAGGTCTTGGTATTAGAACCTGAACCCCAGACAGAGCCCTTGCTGCCACTCGCCCCACCTCCCCAGGCCCACCCCCACTACAGGGAGCGGGGGCAGCTGTCTCCCTGAGACTAGGGGTTCAGTGCTGTTTGTGGGGTGACTGGGAGAGTAGTCCTGTCTGCTATACTACGCTAGCCCCGAGGCTGCCCAGGGGCCCTCCTATAAGGCATGGGTGACAGACTGCCAGGAAGCCTGGGGGTGGGTCCCCAGCCAACTGGGCCAGTCAGCCACCTAACCAGTGGTGCCCCAGAGTTCTCCCTCCCTCCCCACCCTCAGACAACGTGGGCTCACAGGGATTGCTCCCCGGGCCCCTCTTCTTCTGTTCTTTTGCCCACCATCCACCCAGAGGCGGCACAGGTGGGGGTCCTGGCTCAGCTGGCCCTGGCCCGGGCACGCTCTGAGACACACGCCACTAGTTCACGGGGCCCATGGGAGCAGCTGGCCTACAGCCTCGGCACCCGCAACACCACCTTCCCAGGGCCCCTCGCACTGATGGCGACTGCACCCCATCCAAAGGAGTGGCTTTGTGCCCAAGACCCTGAACTTCAGAGCTGGGGCCACACCACAGACCTCTGCCCACCTCAGGCTGGCGCCGTGGAGAGCAGAAAACCTCCCTGTGCCGGGGGGGGGGTCCTACCTCAGGGGGCTTGCCCAGGTGCTGTGACAGGACGATAAGGTTGATCAGTGTCTCCGGGTGGCCACTGTCCTGGAAACACAGGGGCATAAGCGAGCAGGGTCAGCTCCCCCAGGCCCCCGACTTGGCCTGCCCACCCCCATCTCAGGTGCTCCCACTGACCCAGGGTGAAGACATGACCCACACAAGGTCACACCCTCAGAGGTGGGGCAGGGGGTGGGGCTAGGAGACCCAAAGCCCACCCACTGGCCACTCTGCAAGGCAGTGACCTCAGGGCTCTCCTTTCTGCCTGGGAGGCAGTGCGGTGGCAAGGGGGGGCCCCAGCCCCACCCCGCCTTCCTGGCCTCCCTGCCTCTCCCCAGCAGCGGCTTCTTCCCCTCTGAGCCTGTTGTCTCATCTGCGGGCCAGGATGAGACAGAGCCCCCTTGCCGGTTGCAGTTTGGGAGGGGTTATTTATCACACCAGTCGCAAAGGAACAGAGCCCAGCCCAAGGCAGCCTGAACACCATCACAGGCAAGCTGTCCCTCTCGCTGCAAAAATGAGGTCTGAGACCACGGGGCACACTGCGTCCACCCCTCCTGCTCACCAGGGCCCTTGGCAAGAAGCTGCCGGGAAATTATCAGAACATCCAAGCGAGGGACCTCACCCCACCCACCCACACAGGGCTCTGAGGCACAGGGAATCCCGGGAACTGGCCCTGGACCACCTCGGCCAGGACGGTCAGACCACTGCAGGGAGCCCTGACTGGGCACTTGGAGCAGAGACACAGCAACCTGGACCCGAGGCGGCGTAGGTTCGAGGGGCCGCACAGACCCCAGCCTCTGCACAGACCGGCTCCACTCCATGGCTGCTCTTCTTTGGGGAGACTCAACGCCTTCCCACCTTAGTTTCCTCAGCGGTTGTCATGGGGGACAATGGCACGTGTTCACAGAAGCAAAACGAGGGGAACACCAAAGGAATGGGAAGGACAGCGGGAAAGCATGGGGTGGCCCACAGGACCGGGACGACTGAGGCCATGGCACGCCTCAGGCCCTCGAGGGGTCAGGGCCACGGGGCAGTAAGCCAGCCCAGGCGGGGTCGCAGAGAATGAGGACAGATGGGTGTCATTTAACTGGGGACCCCGCTGCCCTCTCCTTTTGGGGCAGAGGTGCC